TGCCGCATGGTCACGGATCGCCTAGGTGTGAACCTAGCCTTAAAGTGACACCAAACTCAGGATTTAAATCTTAAAAATACATTCAAGTACGTTAACTATAAACAAAAATGTATCTTATTTGTGTATCACTCGGCTGTAGATCCTCAAATCATCTCTGAATTGGTGCTGACACTGCCCTTCCTTCTGGAGGGTGGCTACTTTTGTTCCCCATGGTCCCTGTGTGTGTTGTAAAGTAGCCAGAGCTCCAAGCTCACTCCTGTGATGGACTACAATCTCAATACAAATTAATAAACTAAACATAAGAGATTGCAGTCCATCACAGGAGTGAGCTTAGAGAGGTGGCTACTTTACAACACAGACAGGGACCATTGGGAACAAAAGTAGACCCCCCTAGAAGGAAGGACAGTGTCAGCACCAATTCAGAGATGATTTGAGGATCTACAAATGATCTACAGTGATAGCCCTCCCTGAAGTGATTATATTAGTTATGGGTGGACTTGGGTGGGATGTTTCACCCCCTAGCATCTATTATCTTCTGTCTCTGGAGGATTACACCAATGCCGCCTCCCCCCCCCCCCTTCCCCTCCCACAGACCTTTGCACTCTCACTTTCACTTCTACATTCTTCTCTTTATTTAAATGAAGGAAGCATTGTAATTGAAACCCTCTAGTAATAGCAATAGAAGACGCTTGCTTCTGGAAGTCACATATCATTCTGCTTGAGCCACATGAGATATTTAAGTCTGAACTCCGGGCACAAAAATGCTTATCCAAATATATTCTTTAACAGTCACAAAGGTTATAAATCCACTTTGTTTGCATTAAATGCGTTCGCAAAATGAGATATTACCTTGTGAAAGTAGCAGTGACATCATCACTATCCTGTACATAGCCTGTGCAGAGCTGTGGGAGGGACCCAGCAGGCAGAAAACTACAGGAGGGGGCGGAGACATGACCTGTCAGCCTGCACAAGGAGAGAGAGCAGCAGTGAAACGGTCTTTATTACAGGAAACTCCCGCACAGAGGCAACATTTGCAACTGCACATATCTGAAAGAAATACACAAAGCACAGCAAGATTCAAGTAAACATTACGCATGACTATTGTATTTAGACAATATTTATTGATCCCGGACTTTAAATTCAGATACATTGATAGGGACACGGCATTTGCATCAGTCCTTACAAATGCTGAACACGCAGTTGCTGACTTTCATATTATCAGATCCCCTGTTGCAATAGAACCCATATAGCAAGAATAAGTTGCTACAAACGTGTGGCAGGGAGAAATTGTAATTCTTGTTAACTTGCCGCACACATTCTTGGCAAGTTGTAGACTTGCAGAACACTTGCAGCACAAGTTCTAGTTGACACTTTTTGAATTTGTAGCAAATTTGCTTGGCAAGTCCTGCAGGTCTTAGCAAGAGCTCTGCAAGCTCGCTGGTCTGGAGACTTGCAATGCAGACTTGCTGTAATTGTGCAACAAAATTGTGAAGCTTGGCAAGTCTGCAATAGTTTAGCAAGTCATTTTCAAACTTGCAGCTCAATTGCTTGCTATCTGGTGAAGTACGCAGACACATAGTTTGCAAAAGTGTATGAACCTGCTAATTATCTTCTCCCCATTGGAAGTAAAATATGTAAAACTTTTATTTGCTGTTATTTAGTGATTGCAAAAAAAAAAAAAAAATATTGACTGATTTTCATTTAGTGAAAGATATTTTACCTTGATGTCATCCCTATGGATAATATTACAGCTGTAGGTGCCCCAGTCATCTGCTTGTCTGTGCTTGTAGCAGAGCTGATTATGTGTAATGTGGTATAAAATGTCAATCCTGGCTTTCACACTACACACGGTCCTCTGTGTTCCAGCAGCTTATGTCTAATTCCTCCAGCATGACTCATTACATGGCTGTGTCACATTGTGGTGACCGTTCACATGGAAGGTGCAAGGAGCAGACTGCCGCCTTATCATTCCTGTTACTGTGACATCACCATGAGCTCAGTGTAAAGTGGCACATCCCATCACACCTACCTGATGACACAACTCCTGGCAGCTACAACCAGGTCACACAATGTCCTGCTATCTCCACATCTACACCGATGGGAGGATATCCCAATACTAATCAGCTTTGGTGTTTAAATAACAACTTGCAGTGCAGGATTCACGTCTTCCACAGTGGATGAGGTTATATGGCAAACCCAGAGTCATCAAATAGAAATCAATGTTTGCTGATCTGACAGTAAACTGAAATTTGGTTGATACCGATTACTGGATTTTGCATGTCATTGTTGCTCTTTGCATAGGCTTGAAGTTGAATCATCGGGAGGGATCTGCAGAGTTACGTAGTGATTACCGATACAAGGTTGACTTAAAGGGCTAGTTCACCTTTATATTCACCTTTTGTATAAAAGGGTCACAGAACTTTAAAAAGCATTGATCAGTGGATACAAAATTATATTACTTTAAATTATATTTCTGTAGGCCAGAGGACAAGGCAAGCAAAACTACTTCATTCCTTTTTAGCGTGGGTGGGCTGAATTAGAACAATCGTACAGTGTATGGCCAGCTTAACTAATTGTCCTATCTTATTTTTTATTTTTTTTTGTCCTTTGTCCCCTCTTTTATTTTCTCAGGGCTTTAATAGGTTGTGGCCAGAGTCCTACTTTAATTAAAAAGGTTGCTTGCTGTATTAGACCACAATTGCAGAGCAGAAGACTCTACAAAGACAAATAGAGATTAGATCGGTCTCAGCATATCCATTGTAGATCTTTTAGACGTTCTGCCTGCTTTGTGTTCACCTCTTTTTTGGAAACAGCCCAGAATCACATTGTCAGACTTCCAGAGTAAACACGATATACAGAATGGAAAGCTGATAGCTAGGGATATTATTAGAATAATCTGTTCATATCAGAGCCCGGCCTTTCACATTTCTTCCTTAATGGGGATTTCTGTTTTATAAATTATACCGAGTCAGAAAATAAAATCTACGTCCGGAATAACTTCTCTTACATTATCTATCAGAATAGAAAGCTGGTAATCAGTCAGACATCTTTTTCTGTAGTTCTGTAAAGATTGACATAGTATGCGGCACTCCATGGAGTACATGAACCACTAATGCCGTGTTTGTCCCAGAAGAGCTTACAATCTAGTGCCTCCCTCCAAGATACAGACACACACTGGTCAGTTTGGACTAAAGCCAGTTAACCTACCAGTATGATTTGGGATTGTGACAAGGGACCAGGGCACCCAGAGGAACCCCAAGAAAATATATGCAGTCAACCACACTGTCTGATTGGCTCCCACCATCAGTGCAGCCATGTTGATCACCTAGAATGGTAATTCATGGCGACCATGTAGTAATAAAAAACTGCTGTTGGGATAGATTACATTTCTCACTCACACAAGGGCACCGCTGAAGCGTGGAGTAAAGCATGAAGCGTGACGTAAACAAAGGACGCAATTATAGCATTTTTCTATCAAGTCTAATGCTCATATACTGTAGCTGTAATAGCTTAGATATGATGATTGTTATCAAATATTGACAATGATTTTGGTTGGATCAGGCCACAATCTTGTGTCCTTTGGCATCTGCAGAGACCATAGGCTGACAGATGTAGTAGTGATGAGGAAACCTTGCCTGACAGGGTTGGATTTCCATTACTTTATCCTGTAGACACTAAACTATGGCACCCAAAGTGATATCCCTTTGCGAGGGTCGCCACAGTCACAAATAACTTTTTTCAGTTTTACTGGTTCTAACTTGGTTTTGAATATTGTGATATTGTATCAATAAGCCTATACGGGAAGACAATTGGGCTGATTTACTAAAGGAGTCGAGAATCTTTACTCACAAATTCTGGGAATATTCACTTCTAGGGATAAACTCAGTTTTGGATCAAAGCTCCTCCAAACCCGGTATATACATGGGACAGCCCCCCAGATCAGCCCCCCAGATCAGATGCACACCCACAGCAACCAAGTAAAGAGAAGATTTCTTACACGGTGGATGGGTGACAATGGAAAAGTAATTTTGTTATCACCGACATCAGTAGGGGAAAAGAGAGGAGCTGCTCCTGAAGGTTGGGATGTTCGGATACCAAGTACTGTACTCGGTACAAGTACATGAACAGATACTTTTCCAGCTCCAGGACTAGACCAAGGAAAAACTCAACACTTAGGAGGCAGTTGTCATTTGTAAGGAGCACATGGAGCTCCTGGGATTTGTACATCTCTGTTTTAATGTATGATTTTTTTTAATAAATATATATAAGTGATGCACCAATATGATTTTTTCAAGTACAAGTACTGATACATTTTTGTTTATTGTCATGTGACAGTTTTTCTAAAACAGTACAGACTAATGATTTCAGGACAGTGGTGGAGAGCCAGGGCCAGGTCCCAGCTGCAACCGCTGCAACCCTGGTAGTTCTTGTGAAAATGCCAAGGATCGGCACTTGTATTTGAACTGGTATCTGAACATCCCTACATGAAGCCATAAAAAGTTATTTACTTAGGGTATACTCACACTAGGGTAAATAAACCCTGCCCAAGCTCTTTTGCCCCAAAAATCCAGTTAGTTTGACTCTTGTGATCGCTCCATACCAGCTTGAAGAGATGGTCTGGGGCACAATTCAGTTGGACTCACGCATGGTATGCATATGTGTGGTCAATTAATCACGCCCGAACATGGAACTTGAACACTGATGCCGATTAGATCAATTTGTGACCATCCAAGGCAGTAAAGTTACAGGTGATGTATGTGCACTCGGGCTCAGGCACAGTGTGAACGCAGGAAGCGTGCTCAGGCCTGGCACAGTGTGAGTGCAGAGGACCAGGGGAAGGAGGATAATTGTGCTCAGGCACAGTACAAGGCAACCATACCTAGTTTGAGTAGCCCCCTAATATGCTTCTGTTGCCATTTTTTAGCTTATGGAGTAAAACTCAGCTGCCCAGAGTTTGAGATTGTATTTCACAATGTCAACTGTTTTTTTGCATTCTCCAGGTGTTCCAACCAGCTTGTCCATGACGATCTTCCCAACACAAGCATCATCATCTGTTTTGTGGACGAGGTGTGGTCCACACTTCTCCGCTCAGTTTTCAGCGCTTTGAACCGGTCACCTCCCGAACTTATCAAAGAAATCATTCTAGTGGATGACTGCAGCACAAAAGGTAGAGTGAGCAATTTGCTGTGACATGTCACATTGTGCCTTGTTCATTTACAGAGGCCTCCGTAAAGAATGTGTGGAAACCGTCCAGGTGTTTATAAAAGATGAACCTGCATAGAGCACTAATGTACTGTGGCAACATTTGCTTTGATCAGTCTGCTGTACAATGGAGCACTGGAATATTATGAAAGCATTAAACCAAGCTATTTAATAAGCCTGCTAGGAACTCCGGACAAATAAAATCTTACCCCTTGCAGTGGGGCTACCCCCACACTGGAAGGGCTAAATGCTCCTTTTGTCTAGGGAGCTAAAATAATAGAGTTCTACTCACCCAAACCATGATCCCAGCTGGCTGTTAGACCAGTCCCTTCAGCCTTGATCCCCCCCTCAGCCCCAGTGGTCTAAGGGCCAGTGAGTCATTATGCCGAGGGATATTCCATCGCTGGAGAAAAGGAGGAGACAGGAATAATGGGCCAGACTAGATCATGGTTCAGGTGAGCCGGACTGCAAGAGTTAAGATTTTATTTGCTCAGAGTTCTTCTTTATAGCTGATTCTTTTTCTGTGTCAGTAATTTTTATTGAAACTTTTTAAAAGTAAGAAATAGAATGAAAGCAGAAATTATAGGTGGTTTATTCAGGGTAAGAAATAGCAATTTACAGTTTGTACAGCATAGTGACTTACATAGTATTTGAGGTTGAATAAAGACATTAGTCCATCAAGTCCAACCTATTAGGATCTTATTCTAGGAGTACCCGTACCCCTCTATATTGCGGTCCCTTAAGAAATCGTCCAAAAGTTTCTTGAACAATTCCACATTATTTGCTGAAATCACCGCCTGTGGCAGTGAGTTCCAGACCCTAACTGATCTTACTGTGAAGAACCCCCTTCGCCCCTTGTGCTGGAATTTTTTTTCCACCAATTTTAGGTGGTGGCCTCTAGTTTTTGTAATGGAGTTAATTTTAAACAGTTTATCGCTAATGTTGCTACCACCATTGAACATTTTTGACTTGTTCTTTTCAATATAAGTCCAAATAAATGAATGGACCTATGGGATTAATCTATGTTACAATGAGAGTGAGTTGTATCAAATGGGATACAAATGGTAGAAGTCCCATACTGAAATATGGGAACTGGAAATGGCAGTGAAGGGTTCATGTGGGAAGGTACCTCGGGTTGTGGTAAGATCAGACTGAGGTGTGCTTCTTCAGAGCACAACCTTCATCAGTGCTATTGACAGATTGGATGGAGAAAGAGGGAAGATAAAGATGAAATGAAATGAAGGAAGAGTGGTAGTAAGTTGTAAGAAAGGGCTGAAAAACTGATGAGAGGGTAATAGACCAGAAGAATGGTATGGAGGTAGACCTGCCCAAAAGCCCCACAACATGGGAGCAGGCCACTGGTTCACAGTGCACAAGTTATAGATTCAATATAGCCCCATTAAAACCATTATAGAGATTATGTGGAGTCCATGGAGTCCGGGTCTTTTTAAAATTTAGACACTATATGATATAAAATAGCTGCAAGTTTTTTGTTTATCATATGCCAGGTAATCTTCTGTGTAATCTGTGAGAGAGTAGAGTGCTCTGTCAACTGGTTGCACATTTAAGTGCAGTCTAGTCAAGATCAGCCTACTGATTTTTATGGTTTAAATAAATTTGAAGCCAGCCAATGACACAATATAGCCCAGAGCCCATTTTACAGCAAACTTGTGTTTTACAAATACAGGACACAACAACAGGTTTGCTTTAACATTCCAATTCCTAGCAGTTTCACCTTTCCCCCGGCAGCTACATTCAGCTATGGTCATATAAAAAAAATACCTAATTCTTTCCGGCATAGACAAGTATTTGGCTCACTACCATCTTCTTATGTGCCCACTCTATCTCATGAAGAGAGGTTAGAAAGTCCTCAAGTCTGGCTATAGTGACGTAGAGCACACACAGAGCTTCGTCTCTGTGCTTCTGGTGACTAAATGATGTGGTGGAGCTGGAGGGAAAGGTGAATATGTTTTGTTGAATGTGACATTAAACTTAGGTTTTAAATCTTAAAAATGTATTCAAGTACCTAAACTATTAACAAAAATGTAGTCTACTTGTGTATCATTTGACTGTAGATCCTCTAATCATCTTTGAATTGGTGCTGACACTGTCCTTCCTTCTGGAGGGGGGCTACTTTTGTTCCCCATGGTCCCTGTGTGTGTTGTAAAGTAGTCACTGCTCCAAGCTCACTCCCATAATTGATTAAATCTACATATACAAATTAATAAATTAAACATAAGATTGTAGTCCGTCATGGGAGTGAGCGAGTGAGCTTGGAGCGGTGGCTACTTTACAACACACACAGGGATCATAGGGAACAAAAGTTGCCCCCCTCCAGAAGGAAGGACAGTGTCAGCACCAATTCAGAGATGATTTGAGGATCTCCAGCTGAGTGATACACAAATCAGATACATTTTTGTTAATAGTTAGGGTATTGAATGTATTTTTAAGATTTAACTCCTGAGTCTAGTGTCACCATGAGGCAAACTTGTTTCTTTGCCCAACATGGACAAATTTCAGGTTTACATTGAACCCTTAAAAAAGGTAATAGTCCTGTTCCAAACGGGTTGCAATTTTTGGGGAATTTACTACCAGGTTTTTTTTACCATCACTTGCTGTGTCAGAAACCTGAATAAAAGATTACTTTTGTGCCAAGCACTCAAGGTAGATTAAAGGAGAACTATGGGGTCAGTGCTAGTATCTGACACCTCCTGCTTAAAACCCAAAAAGTCAGAAGGACACAAACTAGTATCCTCCCGTCACCCTAAGCTCAGTATACCGCGAGCTACAGCTCTCGATATACTGAGACGCCGCAGCCGGGACGGATCCCGACATTACTGTTGAGATCCACCCAACTACGGGATTGACAGCTGGCTTTGCCTATCTAGAGGCAGAGCCAGCTGTGCCCGCCCCCTCCCCCGTCCGTTCTGCCAGTCAGCTCTGGGGGATCGGACAGGGGAGTGGGAGAATCCCTGCAGGGAGCCGTAAGTGACAGTAATGGCTCTCTGCAGGGATAGATCGAGAAGTGAGCGAGCAACGCTATGTGTTCGCTCACTTCCCGATCTATTGAGCCGACCTGTGACAGTTTCATTATCGCAGGTCAGCTAGAACTATGAGGCTGAGTGATTTTCACTCACCTCATAGTTCTCATAGTTCTTCTTTAAGTATAATTTCTTCTCTGTGCAGTTCTTTGAAGACAAACTTCAATCTATATCAATCCTTACAATATACTGTACATGACATGTCACATTCAGTTAATCATTTATATTTAGCTATTCACACAACAGGAAGTTTTATGATGGGGGAATGCATGATTCACAGGAACGGGTGTTAACATTGGGAGTTTTCCCCTAACCTCCTGTTCTGGGGCCAGTTGTAAAATTTTACGGTAGATATCCTTTTACCTGTTTTCCAGTTAACTATAATTACAAGGACAGAAAGGGAGTATTCCCACTGCCGCCAATCAAAGTAATATTTTTTACATTAATAGTTCTGTGAGAACATGGAACAATTTCTGCACTCATGACTGGATACACCTTAAACTAGTCCAACTCTGCAGGCATTATTTTTCTTTACTTGGGGCATCATCAATGGGCTTTGGTCTTGTGTGGATGGACAAATGCAGCTTTCTCTCAGGAGCATTCCCTTTGCATTTGAGAACAGTTTAAGCCACTTCTGAGAACAGTCAAAATATATTGACCATATTTGATGATGAGTACAGGGCAGCAAATTTAAGACTTCATGCAATATATAATCTTTGAAAGTATCAGACTCAAAGTGAATAAAACTAAATAAGAAGGTGAATACAAAATATCTGATAATTAAGCATGTGCAGTTACGATGCATAAGTCCAGTGGTGACTGGTACTCTTTAAAGTGAATCTGTACCTTAGATTGAGTTGCACATATAATGTACCTTGGCTTCCCCCCCGGCAAGTCTTATAATCTGCTCTCTCCAATCCAGCAAGATCTTGCTCACAACCAAGTAAAATCCCTCCTTAGAATTGAATGGAAAATGTACAACACATGCCTGGGTCCGAAGATTTTGGCATGCGGCTCTTGTCACTCCACTCATGGGTAATGTCTTGCTGGATTGGGGATAGGTAAATATAAAGCTGGCCATACACCTATAGATTTTCTGCAGATTTTCTATGGTCAGATGGAAAAAGTGCAACAGATTCCTCCATCTCCGCTAAACTGTGTGGATGGAGAAATCTCCCACTGGGCCAAGCTTCAGTATCTTGCTAGTCGGCCCTGCTGGCTGTCAAAATACCTGAACAATCTAATTGGATGCAGGCACTGTTGAGGTGTTTTGAAAGCCAGTGGGGCCAACTAGCAAGATACTGAAGCTTGGCCCAGTGGGAGATTTCTCCATCCACACAGTTTAGCGGAGATGGAGGAATCTGTTGCACTTTTTCCATCTGACCATAGAAAATCTGCAGATAATCTATATGGCCAGCTTTAGACTTGCAGGGGGCAACTGAGAGTTGGATAATGATGAATGAGGTTAACTATCTTTTTCCAACACCTGGTTGTATCTCCTACAAGATCTATTACAATTCTCTCCTGTTTTTTTTAGCTTACCTCAAAGAAAACCTGGACGAGTACATGAAGCAATATCCCAAGGTGCGGATTCTCCATTTAAAGGAAAGGCAAGGATTAATTCGAGCCAGAATTGCTGGAGCAAATATCGCTACAGGTAACTCACCTTACTACTGCTGCAGAACTCTAATCTAAATCTAAAATTTTAGATTTTTTGATCTGAAATATTGTTCAGCTTTGGCCAAACCAAGGCTTAATTTGCTGTTTAAACACATGTAAAGTATTGTCAGCCAGACAACGTAACTGAGCAAGATTCCTCTTGCACTATAAATATAAGCCCTGGCGAAGATGCAGTTTGTACATAAACCTCTCTTTAACGTAAATGCATTGGCTATGTTCATAGCACCCTTTTATGTGGCACAAAATGTATATCTAGACCAATCCCTACTATCATTCTTTCATTTCCTGTTCTGATGAGCATACAGAAACATTGGAAAATCTCCCTAGTGAAGACATGGGCAGCATTAAAGAGAAGTATGGATCAGATTACCTTTATTGACCTCAGCGAAATATTCATAGATCACTTTTTTTTCCCGTTTTGGGCAGTGTGGGAAGGGAATCTCAGGGTTTATATTGCTCTTTGTGCCTCTGTTGTCCTCGTTGTGTCCCCAGAGACACAAAGGGAAGTGGAAATCTTGCTTTGGGGAAATCCCACCTCTGACAGTTGTCACCAGAACAGGTGTCTCCATTGAAAGATCTTCCCTCTATTCCAGTTCTGTTGACAACCTTAAAATGTTGGATTGCCCCTCGCTTTCCCTGCCATTGACTGACTACTCATTAAAGCCTAAAAGTATCTTTTATTTGGAAGTACTATATACTAGGGTTGCACAGATACCAAGTACAGTACTCGGTACACGTACGAGTACATGTACCGATACTTTTGAGCTTCAAGACTACACTAGAGAAAAATTAAAAAATTAGGAGGCAGTTGTCATTTGTAAGGAGCACACGGAGCTCCCGGGATTAGTACATCTCTGTTTTAATGTGCGATTTTGTTTCTATAAATATAAATAAAGGGATGCACAGATACCAGTTTTGCGAGTACGAGTACTGATACATTTTTGTTTAGTGTCATGTGACAGTTTTTCTTCAACCTATTCATTAATGACATCGGGGAGGGAATAAATAGCCATGTTTCCGTGTTTACAACCTAGGGAGGGTACTAGAAACGGATCATGACAATATAACATTGCAGGAGGACCTGGATAAAATAGGGGAGTGGGCAATACTATGGCAGATGAGGTTTAATGTCGATAATGCAAAGTAATGTACTTTGGACATAAAAATAAACAAATAGGCTATACAATCATGGGTATGCTGCTAGGGAAGTCAGAAATAGAAAAAGATTTGGGGTCATTGTAGACCACAAACTGAATGGTAGCTTGCAGTGCCAAGCTGCTGTAAACAAAGCTAGCAGGGTCTTGTCCTGTATTAAGAAGTGAATGTATTGCAGAGACAAGTCTATAATTGGGCCTCTATATAGATCGTTGGTTCGGCCACATCTGGAGTACGCGGTCCAGTTTTGGTCACAGGTACTGAGAAAGGATGTCCTTGAACTGGAGAGAGTCCAGCGGAGGGCAACAAAACTAATTAGGGGAATGGAGGACCAGAGCTATGAGACAAGGCTTCTGACCTTAAACATGTTTACGCTGGAATTAAGGAGATTAAGGGGGGATATGATTTTCATGTACAAGATGTTCAATGGTGACAGCAACATTGGCAACAAACTGTTTGAGATTAACTCCATTACAAAGACTAGAGGCCACCACCTAAAGTTGGTGGAGAAAAAATTCCAGCACAATGGGCGAAGAGGGTTCTTTACAGTAAGAGCGGTTAAGGTCTGGAACTCACTGCCATCGGCAGTGATTTCAGCCAAGAGTGTAGATTTGTTCAAGAAACGTTTGGACAATTTCTTGAGGGACCGTAATATCCAGGGATACCAGTATCCCTAAGAATGAGATGATGCTTGGACCTATATGGGTTGGACTTGATGGACGTATGTCTTTATTCAACCCCAAATACTATGTAACTATGTAACACTATACAGACTAAGGATTTCAGGACAGTGGTGTAGCACCAGAACCAGGTCCCAAATGGAACCACTGCAACCCTGGTAGTTCTTATGAAAATGCCAAGTATCTGCACTGGTACTCGAAAAGTATCTGTGCATCCCTACTATATACTGTATATATAACATTTTGGAGAGGCAGCATATTTTGGACCTATTTGCCTCACTTTTGCTGATTATCAACTACAACCTGAGAATATTATTATTTCACAATGGACAGCATTATATAAATAACCTCTGTGGCACCTGTCTTGTCTTGGCATAGGGGATCAACATAAAAGTATTTACTACATCATACTACAAATATACAGACCACAAAAGGTTTAAGGTTTTCTCTATAATGGTTTTGAAGAAGTGGATAAAATACCCGAAAGTGTTGTCCTTTTTCTAAGGACATAATAATTATAATATGCTGAATATTGTAATGGTCTTCCAAAACTACTGTATGTATTGTATAGCTATATGTTTTAATTTGTGTTATGCATTTTTATATTTTGTAATAATCATATTTGCTCATTTTTATACAAATCTTTTTGCTGTAATGCTATATCCAAAGTCACATGTTTTTTCTAGTTATAACATTGAACAGCAGGACAAATAATGAGGTTGGATCTCCCAATGGTTACGCAGAGAGCAATGAAACCTGATAGAAGTTTGAATCCTCCTTCTATCCAAAACTAGATAAAATACGTTTTGGCAGGCGTTCCATTTATGGTTATGTATCTTTGTTTTAACTCTTTGCCTACTGGCTAAATGTGATTTATGGAATCCTCCTGTGTTTTTTACCACATTCTACTTTGGTGCCAGTTGGACCAGCCCATACTATATGCTAAGGGTTCTCTTTGTAGCCTTGCAGTACCCACGACATTACTCTCCCCAGTTTTTCTTCTACATGTAACTGATTTCCACCCAGAATCATGTAGAAGAATCAATTTGCATCGTTGTATAAATATTTGAACAGCAAACTGCGCAGACACATGCAATACATGCCATCTGTATACACTGTATGTCCTCTCTAGCAGGATGATAAAGTGCCCATTCACTCTTGCAGGGGATGTTTTGACTTTCCTTGACTCCCACGTCGAGTGTAATGTGGGATGGCTGGAGCCTCTCCTGGAACAGGTTCGAGTAAACAGCAGGAAAGTAGCTTGCCCAGTAATTGAAGTGATTAGCGATAAGGACATGAGGTAAGCTGGTAGTTTGTTTTTTCACTCTAGATAATTACGGTTCACGTGTGCAAGTTATTTAAATGCGCTTTTTACCTCAGAAGTTTACAGGTCACAATTATCTGCCTGCCCATCGACACGTTTATAAAAGAAGTGTTTTTTTCACAAGGTCCATTAGGCATTCCTTTTATTGTCTGTTTAAATGCCAATAGTATCTAAATGAACACTCCACTATAAATTCTTATAACATCTGTAAGTGCTAAACAAGTAAGTTTGTATTTGAATGATATTAAAACATCCCATTCTATTTTAAAGCCCATCTCCAGGATAATTTTCACTCTCCTCCCACCCTCCACTAAAGAACTAGGCAAAAAAAAAATCGAAATGCTCTTTTTACTTAACCCAAAGTTGCGGTCACATGACACCCAATTCCCAAGTCTTCTCTACTGTATATTTCCTTCAGAGGAGGGAGGGAAGAAGTATTATCCGCGAAATAGGCTTTAATCTGCAGCCTCTATGACTTTTTAAAACTGACAAATAATGTCAAATATCCATTCTGTTCTTGCAATATGGTACTTTGTGGGCGTCCGGTACACTGTTTTAGTACAGAACCCCCCCTCCCCCCCAAAAAAAAAATTATAATTGCTCACGTTTCACCAACTGGCCCCTATGTCACTACTGCATAGTGCATCCGACAATTCTGGAAGTGTTGAATGCTGAAGCATATAGGAGAGTTTGGTCTTGCCACCTGCCAAAGAGACAAGTATTCAATGTCTTGCCCGGTGCTTCTCTTTGGAATTTTTAGGGTAAGTGATAGAATAGCTATAAGGCCAGGTTCAAACGTTTGCGGTGCTTTAGTCCTCGTTCACACCTGAACGTTTTGTAGCGCGTTCTACGCTCGGCGAACGCTCTACAAAACGCTCAAAAATATAAATCCCATTGTATTCAATGGTCTCGTTCCCACCTTGGCGTATTTCCGCCCGTCCCTAATGCGCTACAAAACGGCCCACGCCTGAAAAGGTACAGGTACTACTTTGGACCGTTTTGTTGCGCGTTTCCATTGGGCTACAGCCAAGTAGCCTTCGGAAACGCGCGACGGTCGCGCAACTTTTTTTACCGCGAATAGCGCGCATATGCAATACGCCTAGGTGTGAACGAGACCTTAATGCACACACCTGCTTATCCCGCATCTGACCTCTTTCTGACTGCAACACAACACACGGTGGTGCACTGTCATATGCTGTGGCATGCCGCAGTGCAGTGCATTAGCATGTAGCAAGTGTGTTAGCACAAAGCAACAGTGTGAATCCAAATCTAAATTACTTTCTCCAAAGCAGGGGAAAGCCATTTTCAATAAAGTATGCTAAAATACCTACATTGGGGCTTCAGTTTATTGTAGTTCATTTGTTTTTCTAAAAATTCTGTGCAGAGTAGATTTTGGCTAATTCTGCATTTATTTTAAAAGAATGGCACATTGAAACATAGCCTGAAACACAGGACTTTGACTTACCTATAAAATCCTTATAGTGAAGGACACAGGGCAGATCAAGATGGTTAGGTACTCTTTCCACCCATAACCTTCTTGATTTGCCCTGTGTCCTGTACTGTACGATCAAGTAAGGTACTTTAATATTTCGATCCACAGTAACACACATGTACAGTATTCTGTCTAACATCTATACAAGAAAAATGCCTGATGATCTGATTCTTTTTACTTTTAAATCCCAGCTACATGACCGTGGACAATTTCCAGCGGGGTGTCTTTTCATGGCCGATGAACTTTGGCTGGAAACCGGTCCCTACCGAGGACATTCAGAAGAACAAAATAACAGACATGGACCCAATAAAGTAAGCCTCTCTAGTCTTTATAGAATCTAATTAAATCCTATCATTTCCAGCTATCATTAAAAGGGAACTATGGACAAACCTTTTTTTGTCATTAGTTCTCTTTTGGGTCACAGGAGGACATTTACTAAGGTCCTCCTGTGACCCTAAACTCAGCAAATAGTGGGCTATTTCCCCGCTATATGCTGACAGCGCATAGTCATGCTGCAGCTGGGAAAGATCCCAACAATATTGATTGACAGCTGGCTCTGCCTCTCTAGAGCCAGAACCAGCTGTGGCCGCCCCCTCCCCTGTCTGTCCCTCCTGTCAGCGCTGGAGTAACGGAGAGGGGAAGGGAAGAATCCTCGGGGGTAACAGTCAGCTGCGGCTGACAGTCACCACTCTCTGCAGGGATGATCTATAGAGCCAGCGCATGACAGCTTCAGTATCACATGTCTGCTTTAACTGTTGGGATGAATGCATTTCACTCTCCCTATAGCTGTTGAATGGAGCAGTCCATGGGGTTAAAGTGCATCTTCAACCTCAACCCTTTTTTTTGTCATTTGGTTGTCATATGATGCGTCACATGATAGGTTTTGAGTGATTTTTTCTTAAGTCAAGGACACTGTTTCCATACAGACAGCCCTGATGAAGGGCACTGTAATTGCCCAAAACGTGGTGGCTATACAACTCTATGGACAATAAACACGTATATGATCACAATTGGTCTGCTTGCCATTGAGATTTGCCCCTCTTCTGGTGGAGTTGAGTGCGTCTTACATAACACCTTTAGTTTTAGCATGAAGAATGTCTAGATTCTCAGGTGTTTGTGGTGATCTTTGTCCCAATGAAGCACACTTTCCTTCAGTTCTTGCACAGTCAATGGACAATAAATGAAGCAAACATAGACAAAATAGCATCGCCTTGAATTCCACTTTAATCTAACTGTTAGGAGTAGGGAAAATGCATTTCCCTTTTATGGGGATAAATTGGCCACAGCCCATTCCTGACCGGTTCTCTTTCAGTAAAATTTGAAGGAGTACTGGCTTCTTTCTTCAAATTTTTGATGCAGTGCCTCTGCAACTGTAGTACCCTGGCCCCCTTATTTCTTGGTGACAGATTCCCATGAGCTGGTTAATAGTCTCCCATCAACAACAACAAAAAGCCCCATTGATTTGCAGTTGCTTTTTCCCTTGTGCTCTTGTTGTACGCTCAAATTGTCCACTCAGCAGTCTCAGTAGGCACAAGGTCGGTTGAACAGACAATATAGCATATTTCCTTCTTATTACTGGGTCAGGTGGGGTGGAAAGTTACCCTGTTGCTCTGTGAACCTATGAGTTCCTGAAGGCCTAAAACTGCTCCTCAGGGTGATACATAATACTAGTTGCCCATCATGGTGCATATCCAGTTTATGATGATTTACTTTAAGCTGTCTTTGATCAATAAGGTCATAAGGGGGGTTATCAATGCACCTAAACCAGATGCAAAGATTAAGAAGTGCCCGTTCAAATATGCCCTGCAATATAGTGACATTATCGTAACTCATTTTTCTTGTTATCAGTGCTAAGTTTATATTACCTGTTATTTCAGGTGTCCAGTTATGGCTGGAGGATTGTTTTCCATTGATAGGAAATATTTCTATGAGCTTGGTACCTACGACCCAGGGCTGGATGTCTGGGGAGGAGAAAATATGGAAATCTCATTTAAGGTATCTGTTACGCCTGTGTCTGTGTCTGTATATGTTGTGCAACATTAGGCAATAGTAGATCATATAGAATGCTTTATTTATTATTTTATTGTGGGCTCTTTACATGAGCCAAAAGATTCACCATAACAAACAACACAAATTATTGGTCTTCTTGACTTGCAGTTGTTGTGTTGTTTAGTTGAGTCATATTTTTTCATATCTCATATTTGGTAATTTCTCCATATTTTATCCCTTTAAAAACACTGCAAGTCCAGAAAAATACCTGTTGATCCGGCCAGAAATCTGGTAAGATCATAACGTCCTGTGCATTCTGACTCTGCGATCCATAGCAATGTGATCAGCTCTGCTAAGCTCGCCCCTTCTGGATTACAGAACACCTCCCCTTTATGTAATGAAAATGTGAAGGGGTGTTCTGTTTTCCAGCATGGAAGAACTGGGGAGGGCTGACAACACTGCTTTGGATTTCATTGCATCAGAGGCACTGTGTTGTCAGCTCAGATAGGAAGTGCTCACTAAATTTCTAGCAAATCAACAGGTTTTTTTTTACTTGCCACATTTTTAAGGAGACATTTTGGGTGAATGTATTGCAGAGATGTACTGAATGTGTTTTTTTTTTACTTTGCATGGACATATACAGTACTTTAACCCGTCGGCATATTTTCTTTTGCTTTTACTCTTTCCCTTTGTCAGTGTTATCTTCGTTGGGTCACTTGCATTATGTGGCTAAAATATTTGACATCTAGTTTAAGTGTCATTCCACTGAGCATGCTTAGTGTATGTCCTTACATAGCTCATTTGTCAGCACAGTGTGTGTTGTGGGTCTGAGGGTGCTGGAGAGGGGGATGCAGTATACCTTCTCTAAAGGCTGGTTGGGAGTCTGGAATTTGATGGGGCATCCTGAGTGATTTCCCTGGACACCTCAACACTTTATGACTCCCTTTGCCCACATCAGTATATCTTGTCTACCTTTCTGTCAATTCCCTTTAGCCAGGATATCCCCACAGTCCCTAACACACAGTCCCTGGAATTCATAGAAGTGTTGTAGACACTCTTTAGCATTGTGTCACGCCACTTCAAGACAAATTTGTCATATGGAAGCATGGTGGGGAGCAGCACTGTGGCCCGAGTGTCGATAGCGTAAACACTCCATTCTCACTACATGTTCAGCCCCCGGACTGCACAATGTCATTGGTTGCTATGATGCTGTCAGCTGCACTGCATCATTGGTTGTTATGGTGCTGTGAGGCCGACAGTGTCATAGCAACCAATAAGGCTGTCGGCTGACAGCATTCTAGCAACCAATGATGCTGCAGGCCAACAGCGTCCTAGCAACCAGTGCCCCTGTTCGCTGACAGTTTCGTAGCAACTAGTGAGGCTGTGGGCCGGGCAGCATCCTAGCAAACAGTGACGGGACTTGGGGGTGCTATGTGTTAGGGCCTTGCTTACTCAAAAGTTATATCGGTCTTTATTGTCTCCAGTTTTCTTAACGCTGAAATGTTGGCATTTGTTGATATGTTTGAAGTCTCGCAAATAAGAACTTTGTCAATTTGTGGCATGGAACTGTTGCGAACGATTTTATGACAACTATAAAACAAATAGCTGGCATTACCTATTAAATACAAGAATAAATGTGTTTATTATGACATATCTTTACCTCTTTTTCCTTCTTAGATCTGGATGTGTGGTGGAGAGATTGAGATCATCCCATGTTCCAGAGTGGGCCACATCTTCAGGAACGACAACCCATACTCGTTCCCCAAGGACCGGGTAAAAACAGTAGAGAGGAACCTGGCTCGTGTGGCTGAAGTCTGGTTGGATGACTACAAGGAGATTTTTTATGGTCATGGATATCACCTCCTACAAGAAATTTCCAAAATCGGGGACCTGACCCAGCAAAAAGAACTTAGGAAGAAGCTGCAGTGCAAAAGCTTTAAGTGGTACCTAGATAACGTCTTTCCAGACCTGGATGCTCCCCTGGTCAGGGCTTCTGGAGTGGTAAGTGTCAGGATCTCTGCCCAGAAATGTGCTGTCTGCTTAAAGGTCTTGTGGGCATCTCAGCCACTTGTCAGATTAGAGAGATAATAACTTAAAAGTGAGGAAGAGAGGAGACCTGTCAGTTGCTTTGATCATGTGTATGTAAACCCTAAATCTGTTTTTCAGTATGTTTGGCACCATGTCTCACTGTATACAGTTTTCTTTAATCTTTTTGTGAATCTGTTTGCAGAAGTTTTGGTTATGATGCCCAGTCTCTGCTGCTCTCTGTCCTAATCATGTTACTGCCCCTCGTAGTTCAGGAAAGGCAGTGCTGACCCCTCAGATTCCTCCACCTGTCAGCCACACATAAGTATAAACTTGCAGATTTATTGGTGACATCACAGGCAATAAAAGTACATTTGTCTTTAAGAGATGGTTTTAATGTTTCTGCCATGCAAAAAGATTATTATGATTGTTTTTTTATGGTTAAAAGGTTATAATTTTAGTTACACGCAGTGCTATCCATGTCTACCTTTGCGCTCTGTGTGGAAGCAGTGGTCTTTCTGCAGAGGTCCAACATCCCCCCTACTGAGTCAGAGCCAGAACTCTCCAATCAGCAGGAAGCATGAGCCTTGCTGTTTGCAGAGCTTTATGGCTAACTCAGCACATGGTGTATCAGACCACTGCAGAGAGACCACTGCTTCAACACAGAGTGCAGGAGTCCTTCTCTGCAGAAGGCTTACAGGCTTTTCCACTCAGGATTTGGTTGTGTTCTAAATAGCATAAACATTACAACATTGCACATTGCCTTTTGTTTTGATGCAATGTATTTAACTGATTTAAACTGAAAGTTTGGTTGGGCATTAAGGGATAGCTAAACTTTTTTTTTCAATAGTTTTGGATAGAGTAGGGAACCGATATAACCCCTCTCAGGTTTTTTTTATGTCTGTGTCCCATTGTGGAAAATTCCCTACACTTCCTCTCCAAAATATACAACAGGAAGTGAAAAGTGAATCTCTCCAAAGTAAGAGAAAATCCCCGGTGAGGCAGTTGTCACCTGAATAGGTTTTCCATTGATATAACTTTACTTCTTTTTCTGTCCCCACAACAACTGTAAAATGTTCACCTTCCAATCACTTTTTGTCACATTGACATTAGTCATCAGGAAAATTAAGGAGGCTGAACCTCCCCAGCAGGGACAATATTTCAAAATATCAATAGTAATTATATCTGCAATATCATAAATAAATATCTGACCGAGGTTTCAAAACATCCCTACTGTATACAAAACTTTAAAATAGTTATTCATGAGATGCTCTTTAATTCGCTATCCTGCCTTCTATCAGCCTGATTGGCGGCCATAAGTAACTAATTTCCTAATCTTTTTTACATTTGTGCATTTGCACATTGTCTACACATTGTTTTGCTGCTTTTCCTGTATTTTTCAGTAATCACCACTAGAGGGCAGCAGAACACAGCTCTGCTTAATAAGAGTAAAATGACTTCTTCCCTTATGCCGGCTTTATGTGTGTTGTAAATTGTGTTTATGTATTTCTTCCATTTGTAAAATGCAGTCATACTAATATATTGGGAACTTGATTTTATTATAGATAGCAAACATCGGCCTGGGCAAATGCCTTTCTTTACAAAACTCTACTGTAACCCTTGAAGACTGTGATGCCAGTAAAATGGTATGTGTGACTGCTTTTACTAAATTACATAAAAAGTACCTATAAATGATCTCAGTCAGGTTTTTGTTAGATCGATCTATAAAAATTGGTGAGATTCTTAGGAGATTTTGACTTTGACTGTGAGTGTGGAACATAAGTGTAGAGTTAGGGTCAAGGTGGCTCAATCGCAGCCAGAAGGTCCCATTCCAAGACCATGGGCATAAATATGGAGTTGCTTCTTGACCCCCTTTGCAGCCTTCTAAGAAGATCTTCCACAAGACTTTGGAGTGTGTGAGTGGGATTTTTTGGACATATAGCCAATAAAAAATTTAGGAGGCCAGGTCTTGATGTTGGATGAAAAGACATGGCTGGCAATCTGTACTCCAGTTCATTCTAAGGGTGTCCAGTAGGGTTATAGTGCAAGCTACTCGAGTTCATCCACACAAAACTCATCAAACTATGAGGGTTATTCATGAAGGATCCAGCAGTAGCTTCAGCTCTCTTCAGCCCGTACAGCAGCCGAAGGCGGCCGAGCGACCCAGCTGAGCCGAACGCATATGCTTCGGCTCGACTGAGCCGAAGTGACACCCAAAGCGGGGCGAACGGCCTGCCAAAGGCCAGCCATAAGCCCTGCAATGGCCGATCAGCGTCCCGAAATGACCCAGGGACGCTGATCTGTCAGAAAAAAATAACAAGTTGTTATTCATTGGCCAGTCACTGCTAGCTCCGCCCAATTGTTTTTTTTTTTATCTTAATTTATTTTTTCATTTTACTATTTTTTTTACAATGTAAAAATATTTTTAAGCCTTTTTTTTTAACTCTTTCATTGAATTTCTATTCTGCTCGGTACCTCGGTGGCATTCGGCTATTCGCTCACTGCCGTTTGGTCCCTAACGAGCTGCCGGAGCTTCGGCTCAGCCAATCCAGATGTTGAAGTGGCTGAGTCGAAGTCCTTTTGCACTTCCGCTCAGCCGAACATGCAGACCAAAGTGCAGCCGAAGGCAGCTGATGTACGGCTGATTTCAGCTGATGTATGGCTGAAATCAGCCGTACTGAGCCGGAGTGAATAGCCGAACGTTGTTTGGCTCACTTCACTTCGGCTGGGTTATTCCCTCGGCTGCCTTCGACAACTTTGTGAATAGCTTTATGGAGTTGGCTTGTACACAAAGTCACAGGAATGCTGAAACAGAAAAGGGCCTTCACTGTTACCCCAAGGTTAGAAGTACAACATTGACAATACTCTGGAAACTAGTGAGGTACTAAATGTGCAGCGCTAAAGGGTGATAAAGTGAAAAAATTAGTGTAATCAATATCTCAAGGATATTTAAAGGTAATATAGTGAGATAAGCAAATAAGCAAAACACTGTGTATACAAAACAGTATGCAATAAGCTTTGTGTGACCTCAATGTCACCAAGTGAATTACTCCTTTGTCAACCTTTACTAGTAACAATATCAAAAGTGCATAAATGATATGTGGTAACCTTATATAGCTGCTTGTCAGATAGAATAATAACACAATCAGATTTAAACCAGTCCCAGATGGTGATCCATCTGACATAAATCCAAGTGCAATATTAGTGAATATAGTCCAAAGTGAATTGATGAAGAAAATCCAAACGAATGTTTGAAAAAAACTCTCTTCCCACACCACTGTGTAAGTGTCCACGAATGCCCCCTCTGGGATGCGCACTCACCCCACTGCTATGGTAGTTAAGCAGTGCAAATTGATCAGTGGGTCCACATCCCTGGTATCTCTCCCGGCAATGTCCCGTCAGTCGACAGTTTATAAAATCACGAAATAAAAACTCCTCTTGTTGTGGTAGGTATGAACGTTTATTTAAAAAAACATAGAGAACTTACAGTTTAAAATAGTAAAGTCCGGCCGGTCAGATACAGCGTACGGAAATAATCTGGAAACACCTGAACTCAATCATTTGGAAAGGTGTCCACATATTTTGGCCATATAGTGAATAAAGCTGACTAGGGCTGCAACAACTAATCGACATAATCGATTATAATCGATGATTGAAAAAGTTGTCAACTTTTTCAATCATCGATTAATCGGCTTCCGATTGGTTGGCCCTGTTCACGGCTCCACAAAGCTGCGCGCCACACCTCCTCCCCACCTCACGCTCGCTGCTGCCAGATCCGCCCGCCCGCATCCACGCTCCACACGCCACACCTCCTCCCCACCTCAACAGTTTTGAGACCAATATCCAGACAGCATTCTTTGATGGAATGGTCCTTGTAGAAGGGCTTAAGGACTGACAGTCAAGCAGAGACAGGCAGTCTATGACTATGCCTAAATGGTAACCCTCATCAGCAGAGACCATGTGGCCAGTGCCTCAGTTTTGGTCAAGTGACCGAGCATTGAGCGGAGAGTGGTGGAAGTATGTTTTCTACTCTTGTTTTTTTTTTACCTTTTCCACATATCATACATCAAGTGTAATGAGGTTCTTTTTTCACTGTATTCTGAACATCTGTCTCTTTATTACAGAACCAGCAGTTTAACTTCACTTGGCTGAGACTCATTAAACAGAGGGATCTGTGCATCGCCCCTGGGGACAAAGATAAATTGGCTTTGCAACAATGTGACAATCTAAACAATAAACTCCGGTGGTTACACAAATCCCTGACAGCGTTCCAGCCATCGCTGGTGAGTAAATAAAGTTTCACACTATGATAAGAAGACAAAAAAGAAAGTTTCCATGAGGACAAAATGCATTCACATTGGGTGAAATGTTGAATCTATTATAGGCGACAGTGTGCTGACCTTGTCCCTAGCAGGCTGCATCACCATCTGGAATTATCTGGCAGAGAAAGCTTTATTAGGATAAAGAAAACAAACACATCTTATTGCTGGGAGAGATCCATGTATCTTATGAGCTTTGGCCACTGTTGCTATGAAGCAATCATGCAGCTGGTATCTTACATTCTTAGTTTACATTTGGTTAAGCTGACAGCAAGGCCAAGCTGCCAATTGTGTCATGTGCAAAAGGAATCTTGCCAAATGTGCGGTATCCAAAATTATTAAAGCCCATAATTATTGTTTAGTTTTTAATGTGTGGAACGTGCAAATAATATATTAGCCTTCAGGGCTGGAAAATAGATCATTGTAGTTTTCAGTTCAGAGCAGAGCAGTGCCTATCCTAACCCTCCCTGAAACACAAACCTTTGACACTAACGTCACTTTAAACTAAACATTAACCCTGACACTAGTTCTTCCTGTAACATCAACACTGACTCTCCCTGTGACACTAATACTAAAGCTGGCCCTACACTAATAGATATCTTTTGTTTAGATGTTTTTTTGTTTACCTCCTCATGTATCACTTACCCCTCCTCTTTTAGATTGAAAGCCCTCAGGGGCAGGGCCCTCCTTACCATCTTGTCTTGAATTATATTGTGATTGTAATGTCTTCCTTATATTGTAAAGCGCTGCGCAAACTGTTGGCGCTATATACAGGTGAAACTCGAAAAATTAGAATATCGTGCAAAACATCATTTATTTCACTAATGCAACTTAAAAGGTGAAACTAATATATGAGATAGACTCATTACATGCAAAGCAAGATAATTCAAGCCGTGACTTATCATAATTGTGATGATTATGGCTTACAGCTCATGAAAACCCAGATCCATACTCTCAGAAAATTTTTGGCAGTGTGGGCAGGTGCCAAGTCCTGCTGGAAAATGAAGTCAGCATCCCCATAGAGCTCATCTGCGGAAGAAAGCATGAAGTGCTCCAAAATCTCCTGGTAGACGGCTAAGTTGCATTAGTGAAATAAATGAACTTTTGCACGATATTCTAATTTTTCGAGTTTCACCTGTAAATCCTGTATAATAATAATAATAGGCTGCTAAACAGCATGGATAGAGGAATCCCCCCCACCGGATTATTGTACTCTGACACCTGGCACACGATTTTAAGCCTGGCTCCTTCTACAGAAGTTGATTGAGTAAATGATTTTTGTCGAACTCACGGGACCCCCTCAACCCTATATCAACCCTAACATTTCATCTCCCTGTAACTTTCCCACTAATCCTCCCCGTAACCCTAACACTAATCCTCCGTAGAACACTAACACTAATCCTCCGTGGAACACTAACCCTTCCTGTAACCCTCACACTAACTTTCCCTGTAACAACAACACTAACCCTTCCTGTAATCCTAACACTCCCTGTAATTCTTACGCTAATCCTCCCTGTAACACTAACACTCCCTGTAACATCAACACTAACCCTTCTTGGAACCCTCACACTCACCTTCCCTGTAACCCTCACACTCACCTTCCCTGTAATCCTAACACTAACTCTCCCTCTGACCCTAACACTAACCATCCCTGTATCCCTATCACTAACTCTCTCTGTAAGGCCAACACTAACTCCCTGTAACCCTAACACTAACCCTCCCTGTAACCCTAACACTAACCATCCCTGTAACCCCATCACTAACCCTCGCTGTAACCCTCACACTAAACTTCCCTGTAACCCTAACACTAACTCTCCCTCTAACCCTAACACTAACCATCCCTGTAACACTAACCCTCCCTGTAACCCTGACACTAACCATCCCTGTAACCCTAACACTAACCCTCCCTGTAACCCCAACACTAACCCTCCCTGTAACCCCAACACTAACCCTCCCTGTAACCCTAACACTAATCCTCCCTGTAACACTAACTCTCCCTGTAACCCTAACACTAACCCTCCCTGTAACCCTAACACTCACCCTCCCTGTAACACTAACTCTCCTTGTAACCCTAACACTAACTCTCCCTGTAACCCTAACACTAACCCTCCCTGTAACCACAACACTAACCCTCCCTGTAACCACAACACTAACCCTCCCTGTAACACTAACACTAGCCCTCCCTGTAACCACAACACTAACCCTCCTTGTAACCCCAACACTAACCCCCCCAGTAACTCTAACTCCCTTTAACAGTAACACTAACCCTAACACTAACCCTCCCTGTAACCCCAACACTAACCCTCCCTGTAACCCCAACACTAACCCTCCCTGTAACACTAAATCTCCCTGTAACCCTAGCATTAACTCCCTGTAACCCTAATACTAACCCTCCCTGTAACCCTAATACTAACCCTCCCTGTAACACTAACCCTCCCTGTAACCCTAATACTAACCCTCCCTGTAACCCTAACACTAACCTTCCCTGTAACACTAACCCTCCCTGTAACCCTAATACTAACCCTCCCTGTAACCCTAATACTAACCCCCCCTGTAAATTGAACTCTGTAACACTCACACTAACTTTCATTCTTGTAAACTGAACTCTGGGACCATCTGTGCTGAAGACCAGTCTGTCCTGTGCTGAGAGATTCCTGGGTTAGGTGGATAGCTTGCTCTTCCTTTACAATCACCAGTAACTAATTGCCGTATTATTTCATTGCAGGAATCCCACCTTGTTTTGGAAAGCATACCACGGCCAACGTGTCTAGAGGCGGACCCTTCACACAAGACGTTAAAGACAAACTCCTGCAATCCGGCTAATAAGCTTCAAAAGTGGCAGTTTGAGCAATACTTAGTGCCATGAAGACACCGCTGATACAGACTTAGATCTATTGTTATAGCGCAGTTAGTGAGACCTGGACCATACACTGTGACCTTATTCCATGGACAGAACACGGACCGACTGGAAATGGGACTTCGGGAGGCCTGTAGTTCGCCTCCTTGCAAGTTTGCTGAAAATATTTTTTTTATGATTAGGGTTACTGGGGCATACTGATTTTTAAAGGGAAAAACTCCAGTTTTGTGAACATTTGATATAGTATAACTGCTACAAAACTATTTTTTGTAGTTTAATATGATTTGAAATGACCTTTCTTTTTCTGCAGCCAGCAATGATTTTGGGTAACTGCAACTGTGTGCAACTATAGCAATACTACTATAGCAATACTAGCAGTACTCTATAGAGAGAAGTTCCCCTTGTATCCTTTACTTTCCTCTGTCATTGGCTGACTGCCTCTCTCAGATATTTGTACAGAGTTCGATGTCAAATACTCGGCAGCCTGCCATTTAAAATATAGAACCCCCGGGAATGTGCCTATCATTACTGCACTGGAAGTTTTGTCCTTGCACATCTAAAAGGATGCTTATGAGGCATTGTTATCTTTTTAACACTAGGAAGGACTGCAAGGACAGGACCTTCCATTTAGCACTCACTTTAAAACATCTAAGTGGTAGCATCCAAATGGCCCACTGCCGTTTCCATAACCTTTTCTAAATATATAAGTGGCTCAAAGTAAGCTGTTCACTTTCTTCTTAACAAGGCTGAACGATCCTGTTACAATGTGTCTGTCTATTGGATTCTTTGAATGTGTTATGTTCATTATAGCCACCATTAAATTATTTATTTATTTCTGGCCCTGGTTTGAGGATGTAAACAGTGCTGAGTGGAGTAAAACGCACCATCAAAAACCATTAGCTACATTAAATTGCTAAAAGCTGATTGCTGTGAAGATTGTACATTGGCTCTGTAACTGTTGATTAGTAACTTTTTTGGTGAAAGTTTGATTAGTGGGTGTTATATATATTGAGTATTGAAAATCAAAGGCAAGCTTCAAGCCTCTTCCTACAGGCTATATCTCTGGTCCTCACAGTGGGATCCCGGGAAAATTGAGGTACCAAAGTCTCGTGAGCAGACACCCCAGCGTGGTGCAATGGCACATTCTCGAATTTGGTATCCACAGTTTTCCCTGGATTGGGCAAGGACGTCACCCTCATCTAGTGCGCTGGAAGCCATGTGTAAGTTAAGTGTTTTTAGCAGCTCTCATGATTAATTACCCTCTTTTTGATTTGTATTGAACCTGTACTGTCTCCCTTTATATGGTAAAACACTGCACAAACTGCTAGCACAATATAAATCCTGCATAATAATAATACAATTTTTCTTCCAATGTTTTATAATTTTTTAGCTTTTAAGGAGTCTTTTTTTATTCAGGATGTGGGAGGCTTCAGCACAAGTAGGTCTCACATTTTAATGCAAGGTCCACGTTAAATGGCCCTCTCTGTCCTTATCGGTAGAGAGTCAGTCTCCCCTAACTGATATTTTATTTATGGGTAGATGCTGGTTCATTGACTTATCTTCATACGTCAATCACAGACTTTAATATTGAGAGCTCTGAATTCTCAACTCTTGCCATCCATCTGCTGTAAAACCGATGAGTGGGTACTTTTTTTTATTTATTATACATGAAAAATTTAAAAGAAATGGGGTTCTGTCTGCTGTAACAGAAAGTCCAGACTTGAGATCTCACTTGTACGTGTTTACCATGATAAGAAACCAGGTATTTATCTACCTAAAACTGGCCACCCACTAATTGTTTTTTCTCATTCGGACCCGTGGACTGAATGATAAACAAAACATTTGATTACCCCATCCACACTAAACAGACTGGATGAGGGAATCCCACCTTCCCCACCAGGCTATTGTATTCTTAGAGCTGCTGTGTACAGATCTTAGATGAGATTTTTTTGGACCAGCTCCTTCAACAAAAGTTGATTACAAAATGGACTTTTGTCCAATGAGGTGTCGGAGGGACCACACACTGCAGAAGTTTGATGGCGTCATCAGGCCAGCATAACCATTGTTGACTCTAAACGGGAATATCATTTTTTTAGCGAACCGACCCTTCAATGTCTGCATCATGTTCTGCAATATGTAAAAACATTTAGTATTACCTTGTTAGTTTGGCTTTTTGTATGCACTGTGAGTAAACAAAGAGGTTGAAGGATGAAGAAGAAAAGAATTTGTAATTCCTAGAAGAAATATTGCATTGATTCATTTAGGTTATAGATGTGAAGGGTGGAAGTGGTCATATGAGAATCAGTCTGAGGTGTAATTTAATGATGTAAAATATACAAGATATCAGGTGTGAGGATCGGTTTGGAGTCATGGCAGAGAAAGAACAGAGCATACACTTTCCTTATATTGCATTTAGATTCTTCATGTTCTGATCTTGTGACAGATTGGGTTTCATAGTTATATTTTGGATATTGTAACACAGGGGTGGACAAATTAACATGGAATTCAGGGGCCAGTCTGTCCAATCCAGGAGCCAGGTGGATTTTTTAGGAGCCAGGTCCATTGAAAACAGCTAGAGAAAACCACAAAAGTTGAGCACCAGCCGTAAATTTTAAGTAGCATTGGCTAACTGGCACCTGGGATTTGTCCAGCCTTGTTGTAATATGTTTTTGTATTAGTCATTCATCTAATCACAAAATAGGGGATTTAAATGTATGCTTCTGTCAAACATAAATAAATATAGTTAGGTATGTCACCTTTGACCCATCCAGCCTCTGAAGCATAATGGACCGTTTGGGTCCATCGCCAGCACCATTTCCAGGTGCGGAGGACATAATCCAGTGCTGCTAGCTGCAGATGTGTCATCTCGGCTAATCCACAACAATCCTTTCTCACTGATGTCACCGCTGAGATTTCTCTGTGCTGGCAGAGCAGAGTAACAGCCACACCCCTCACATAGACTTCTAATGCAGAGAAGGGGAGGGGTGTGTCTGCTGTTTAATAAAAGCACTAGGTCCAACTCTTCTGCCTATTGAACTGCTTATTCATATTTAGACACCCTAATCACCCTAAACAACTGCTGGAGAAAAGACCATGAAAACAGAGCCTGTTAGTACATTTCCAGGACTTCAATTGGGTTTTAAGGAAACCAGGGACCACAGGCATCTGCAATATATAAAGTCATCAAAAGGTATCAGATTTTCTATATGGTCATCAGGCGCCTGGGGTTGGTCTTTTCTGACATTGGGCATTGGTGAAAAAGTAATGAAATGAAAAGTAATTTTCCACAGTGCGGTAGAATGATTATAATTCAGCTGGACTCAAAATGTATTGTGGATATGAAGGAAATGTTCATTTTGATTAAGTCTTGTTCTCATTATCTTAATGTACTTTCATATGAAAATTGGGAAGGTGTTGCAATAAATTATTTTTGGACAAAAGAACTTCTTTTTTTTTCCCCGCACATATGTTCACGTTTTAAATGCTGGACTGGTATTGTGTTGATGTTCAATGGCTTTAAAGGGGAACTCTGGTCAAAATGCTTTTCTTCCATTTTGTGTAGAGGCAAAGCTTAGCCTTTCAATGGGTTTTTACAGTTTTTCAGGGGTGGGGAGCCGCCCACATCTGGCACTGCTACAAAGGCCTGAGTTTGATTTTTCCCTTCCATCAACTTAAAATAGAAATTACAGTAAAAGCACAGAAAAAGTAAGAATCTGACATGCTTGCTTGAAGTTTCCCATATATATATATATACAGGTGAAACTCGAAAAATTAGAATATCGTGCAAAACATCATTTATTTCACTAATGCAACTTAAAAGGTGAAACTAATATATGAGATAGACTCATTACATGCAAGGCAAGATAATTCAAGCCGTGATTTGTCATAATTGTGATGATTATGGCTTACAGCTCATGAAAACCCAGATCCATACTCTCAGAAAATTTTTTGGCAGTGTGGGCAGGTGCCAAGTCCTGCTGGAAAATGAAGTCAGCATCCCCATAGAGCTCATCTGCGGAAGAAAGCATGAAGTGCTCCAAAATCTCCTGGTAGACGGCTAAGTTGCATTAGTGAAATAAATGAACTTTTGCACGATATTCTAATTTTTCGAGTTTCACCTGTATATATAACTTTACTGGGGGGAAGGAATAGGATTAGAAGTATGAACTGATATAATGATCTTTTTTCATTTTTTTTGTGTCTTTATATATGCTAAAATATATGTAAATAATAAAAGAAAACAAATAAATAAAATAAAAAAGAGTACTCAAAGCCCTCATTCACATGAGAAAAGGCCGGCACGTACAGATGTGGCTGCGTTCACGGCCGTATCAGGCAGCTCCCGGGAAGGACAGGTGCTGCATGTGATTGGTATGCAGCCCCTGTCCTTCTCTATGGGAGAACGTGGCCGTACGCCGCCCTATGCTCACCCGAACTGCACGTCCATATGGGTGCAGGTGTCCCTGCTCGTACGCACACAGGATTCATCCTGTCAGCGTACGAGTACAGACACCCGCACGGATTTGTACGGGCCGTCTGTTACTAGTGTGAATGAGGGCAAACAGTGACTGCAACTGAATGATACAGTCACTGTTGGGTCAACCATTTTCCACCTGTCTCATTCGCCAAAAGTCAATTGAAAAATGTAGTTTTGTTGAGCCAGGTGGTGCAGGCGGGGCCACCCACAGCTCCAATTCCTGCTAAATCGGTGACAATTAGAGCCGTAAGTGGCCAGCTTTACTTACCTCCGGTGGATTTTATCCATTCAGAATAGCAACATTAATTTATATGTTTACCTCTACTTTTTCCCAGCCTATTGTGCAAGATTCTGACAAAAGACCGCAGCTATTATCAGGAGACAATAGCTTGGATTGTCCGAGCCCGGCTGCGCCATTATGGCCAAAGCTCTGAAAATAAGCAGCTGAGAGGAACAAACACGACACTGTTCTAGTATCAGAAGACGGAATTGCCGAGGCTTGCATAGTCAATCCTGCTTTGTGCCGGGAAACAAAAGAAACAAACACTGGATGATTTGATGTTCTTTGTTGTCAAGGAAATTTCTTCTCCTGGAAAATCTGATCTAATTGACAGAACTTTGCTGTTTATGTTGATAGTTTGTTTCAGTAGTTTTATGTCTTAGATTCTGCAGTGAGGGAGATTTACCAAGAAATATACAGAGAAGATGAGACATCTGCCTGGCTCAAGTCGGCCTGATTCTTCTTCAAAGGACTTGCTATACTTTTTGTGTGTTTGCACCTTGCACCTCCAATTCTAGCAGTTTTATAAACATTTGCAATAGATTTAAC